CAGCAGGTATTCTAGAAACCTGTCATTGCACTTAGAGCGTATGCATGCATAAATGTATATATTTACATGTCAGTAGACAGATAAGCTTAAACATAGCGAAAGACACTTTATGTCTCAAGATTTTGAATTGCTAGCTGAGCTACCGATGAATTACCACGTAGCTACTGTAGACAAACCTCACTGGGAACACTGAGAGAAAGAGAATACGTTTATGTTCAAGTTATGAACTAGCAGAAAAGACAGTCCCTCCATTTGCCTTAGACTCTTCTTATGTAAACAAAAATGAATATCAAACCATGGTCATACAAGTTAATTAAAATTAAAATGTTCATATAGAAAATGTTCTGTGGATATTTTTAATGATGTCAGCTTTAGTAAGGATTTTTAAAAAGATTGGATCATTATAATAGATAATCATTTCATTTGGGAAAGTGCTTGCCAAGATACCTGTTTTATCAGCATCATTGATAAAGATCCGCTATTAGCTGCTGTGACCTGTAAATAAGGGGGGCATTTTTATTTCCACATCCTCTAATTCAGCTCTAGTCAGAGGACGTGGAGGCAAACCACGTGAATTGTGTCTGCAATAACGTTTGCAAATTACCACTACAAACTGAGGGTCTAATTTTCCTGGTGCAAACAGACTTGGGCATCTCAAGTGACCTAAAAACTCCAGTTGTAAAGAAGATCTCACGGGAAGGTATGTGGAGTCAGAAGTACCAGGTGAACATAGCTAGAAAGTATAGATGAAAAATTAAGGTCCTGAATTAAAAGACCATCCTTTTTTTTTTTTCCAATTAATATAAAAAGAAAAGAAAAAAGAATAAAACCGCCCATGTAGTGTTTCTATGATGAGTCACCTGTATTATCATACACATTGTATTGTGGTTCCCTGGGTTCTGAATAAAAATTTTCTTTGCAATGAGTTAGCATAAACTTATTAGGCAATTGAATGTCCTAGTTCTTTGTATCTGTCTGCGTGCCCATCGTTGCAGCAGTAGTTGAAATTGCACAGCTGTGAGGAGCCTATTTCTGGGGAAATATATTTAGAGAGAATTGTGTGCTGAAGTTCACGGCTCCACTTGGAGTTTGCCCACAAGTGTACAAAACATTTTAAAGAGAAAAAGCTGTTAGTCTGTGAAAACATGGTCTGTGTAAAGCTGCCTTACTGTATTTCACTCACAGATGTGGCTCAAAATGGGTCAAGGCCATGGGTCAAACCACTGGAACTGAGTGGTCTGCATCCTTGTATAGGTCATTCGAGGAGATGGGTACTCTGCTTTTGAGGGGACAGGTCATGTTGGCCTATTGCTGAGTTTCTCTGAATGAGTTTCAAGGGCCTGGCAATAAGCAGGGATCGCTTCTTTTCTGGGGCAGTGGCAAGCTGACTCAGGAGAGAGTTCACTTGGAGTGTGTGCTTGCCACCCAAAGTGGTGCCATGAAAATGCTGTAGTTTGAGACTAATTCAGATGCTCAAGTGCATTCAGCAATTATTTGTATATGCTGTGTTATCAAAAAGATGTTAGAAAAACATTAAAGCAATAAATACTGTTTTAAATATTATTTGTTTGAACTTTGATAAATGTTTTCCATATAAATGCCACAACTCCAGTTCAACTGCTGAAAGTCTAAACATCTCTTTGGATAAAATTGTGACGGGTATGATTTATACCAGATTATATTCAGGGTTATTAGGATGTTTGTATCAGTTACTAACTGGGATGTAAGCAGAATTTAAAGGAGTTCTTGTGAGTCTGTGTGTGTGTTTGTATATATGTATATATGTGTGTGTGTATATAGGTATAGATATATGTAAAAAACCCCATATTCCTACAGCATGTTGTGCTGTCCATCATGAAGTATATGCTTCGTTGTTCAGCTTATGCTACAGAATTGTATCAATTATCCACAAGTAAAGGGTTGATGAAAGAGACGTTGGGTTTAGATAATAGCAGCATTATCATAGAAGGGGGATACTTAAATGCACAGGGTTGCAGATAAGCTTGCAAGTTACAAGATTTTGAAGGGCATAGCAGGAGAAGGGCCTTGTTGAGTTAGAACAACGATCTGGCGGTGGCTAATTGTCAGGGCATAGGAGATGAACAGCAGAGGATTCCTGTAGCCTAAAGATCTGTCCTACACACTCCCAGCCATGAGTGGTTTGCAGCTCAGGGAGCTCCAGCATCAGAGGTGCTATCTCCTGAACAGTCCTTGACAGATTTTTCTCATTTAAGCTTGTGTTGCTCTTTCGACCATTATAAACTGCTGGCATCTCCATCATCCTGTACAAAATTCACAGCTCAACTGTGCTCCGTGTGAAGAACCTCCTTGTTTTTGCAGTGTGGCCGATTTGCTTCATTTGCTGCCCCTGGTTGTCGTAGAAGATGGTGTAGAGGTTTTTTTTCCCTACTCGCTTTCTTCATGCTGTTTGTAAGTGTACAGACTTCTGTTGTACGCTTAGTCATCGCTTTCTTGACTGCAGTCTTTGCCTGTTTCATTATTCCTCATCTCAGAGCTCTTCTGTACTTTCTGTAATTCTTATTCCTCTTGTCAGTGCCTTCCCTAAGCACTCTGAGTGTGTTTGTGTGCCCACTGCCTCTGTTCTTTAGAGCAGTTGCTGATAGCACCATGTAATTGTCAAATTCAATGTTCTGAAATTACCTGGATCTCCTTTGAAACCCTCTAAAAAAATCATTCCATTTGCTGCCTTCTGTTCCTCTGCTGCTGACAGAAGTTTACGTGAGAGACTGCCCATCACAGCAGAGCTATTTTGTCTTAAGAGCCTCCAAATGAATATTGCCTGGACCCAGTAATTGTCCTTCTTCATTACAAGGTGAATACTGTATGAACACTCAAGTGTTTGTTCCATAACCATGTCTACTGACACTGCTGCTTGACCTGGTTCCTCCAGTGTCCTAGCATCATGGTGTGGTTTGGGTTAGGAGGACCTTAAAGCCCATCCAGTTCCAATCCCCTGCCATGGGCAGGGACACCTTCCACTAGAGAGGGCCCAGCATGGAAATTGTTCTGAGACCTTCCATAGGGGACACAGCAGAGAAGCAGAGTTAGATTTATGCATCTGTGGCTTTATCTCCTGACTGTTGCTCTTAGGTTTTGATCTCCTGTAGTCCCCAGACTCCCTCACAGACTTCTTGGGATGTTTGGGAAAGGATTTCCTAATCCCTTTAATAGGGAGGTGGGTGAAGGGAGAAGGTGTTTAGTGGGGGTGGATTGAGGATGGACAGTCATGGGGGACTTTTAATTCTGTTAGCTTTTCACAGTTGTATGTATTTCCTTGTTTGCTCTAAAAGTAATTTTTATTGGAAATATGTCTTTCCTCTTACCTTGTTGCCACACCACACCATTTTCTCCCTATAGTTATTTCAAAATAATTTTTATTGGAAAAATGTCTTTCCTCTTACCTTGTTGCCAAACCACACCATTTTCTCCCTATAGTTATTTCAGTAGGGCAAGATCCCGTTGCCATTGCCTGTGTTACATTCTACGTTACATGCTATTGCTGTGAGTGTTTTCTCCTGCTAAGCAACAGGAAGGCTGTTAGCTTTGATGCAGGACGGCATTATCCCGTCCCCGAAGGTGCTGGCAGTGAACCTGTGCGTCAGCATTTCTTGGGCTTTGCCACCCCGGCCTCAGCAGATGGCATTTTGTGCCAGACACTTGTGGTCCATATGCCTGTAGGACAGGTAGCAGTGTGTGTGTATATACAAGCACACAGAACAGTGTCAAATCTGATCTGTTATCAGCCAACTGGAGAGTATAACCAGCGTGGATGCACCTGACAGTCCTGTACTTCCCCGGGGCCCCTTGCGGACTGCCCTGTGGCGGGGTTATCTTTCTCTAGAAGTGTCTTTCTGGCCACTTTGCATCTGCAAAAGACATTAAATGATCAGCAGGCATTTAAATATTCATCTTCATTTTGCCCATGCCTTTTATTAAAGTTTGTATAATCCAAAGAGGCTTTTAAATGGTCTGTGGCTTAATTTATTCGTTAAGGAACTCAAGCAATAAACAGTCTGTGTTTTAGCCTGACACCGATGCTTTTTCTTTTTCTTTTTACTGTTGCAACTTGCAGGGATGTCTGTCTCTTGCTTTAAATACCGAAACGCTGTGTGCTCCCTGCTGCAGCTCTTGTACCTTGGCTGCCTGCTCACTGACTTGTCAAATCACTAATGAACCTGCACTTCTCTCTCTTAGGGCCACGTCCTGCCCTCAGCTGAACTTGTTCGGGCTGAGTTGCTTCAGAGGTATTTCACAAGTGTCTTTTTTGTTCAGGTTGCTTACAGAAGTCTCGCAATATTGCACCTGGCTCTGTTAATTTTATGTAAATTAAGCGTAACACTTCCAGCAGCAATCCTTTCAGCCAGTTTATACAAATCCTCTATCAGTCAGCTCTATGTGCTTCTCGTCTCCGCAAACTCTTGCAAAATGGCTCTTTTACTGCCTGTGTAGGGACTAAGAGCCACTTCAGTGGCACGGATTGGCAGTGTAGCATGATTAAGTCAATGGTAAGTAACGCTGGAAACTATTTTAAGTGACAGAGCAGAAATGTTTCCAAGTTGATTTCTTACCAAGCAGCCCAAATGCTGATGTTGGATTGCAATATTAAAGCGTTGGTACTGATAAATTAAAGAGGTCTCTAAAAGAGTTTGGAAGACTTTTTGGGTAGGTTTCACCAAATGAAGATCGCAACCTCTTTAGGCATCTTCAGAAATCTCTTAGGGGGTTTTACTCATTTTGGGCTTCTTGGACTTCATAAATGGGGGAAAATAGCTCTATATTCTGGACAGGCTGGATCGATGGGCCGAGACCAACTGTATGAGGTTCAACAAGACCAAGTGCCGGGTCCTGCACTTCAGCCACAACACCCCCGTGCAACTCTACAGGCTTGGGGACGAGTGGCTGGTGAGCTGCCCGACAGAGAAAGACCTGGGGGTGCTGGTTGACAGCCGGCTGAACATGAGCCAGCAGTGTGCAGAGGTGGCCAAGAAGTTCTCCCCGGTAATTAGCAATAGGACAAGAGGAAACGGTCTCAAGTTGCTCCAGGGGAGGTTCAGGCTCGACATTAGGAAGAACTTCTTCACTGTTAGAGTCGTTAGGCATTGGAACGGGCTCCCCAGGGAGGTGGTGGAGTCACCATCCCTGGAGGTGTTCAAAAAATGTTCAGATGTGCCGCTTCAAGACATGGTTTAGTGGGCATGGTGGCCCAACCATAATGATTCTATGATTCTATATATAAAAGAAAATGTGTATTCTAAAAGTAAATTGCAAACAGACGTCTTGGCTTTATTTTTTGTTTTCTTAAGAGGCAATGAGTACTCTGTCGCTGGAACGCTTTCTCCATAAATCACCGCATATGTTACGTGTCTTAAATTTGAATGGAGGGCTAACAGTTTAATATTCTCTGATGGTATGTGTGTGGTTGTAGGAAAACACTATGTAGGAAGCTAGAAACGTGCAACAAGTGCCCCAGTCTATTAGAGCGTTGAGTGGATTAGGTGTGGCGCTGGGGAGGGTGCTTCATCACCCCACACACGTGGAACGATGAGGGAGTGGTTTGCAAGTATTTGGAATAAGGACTTGGGCAGTCCAGGGGAGGAACATGGAAAGAAACACGTTAGGGGAGAATTCAGCTGAACTCAGCTTTTCTTTTGGTAAAATCGAATACAAACAGGGGCAAGAAGCGTAGATGCCAGTAGGTGGATGGACCGGTGGTTTTTTTTTTGACACCTGGTTTGGAAGGGCAGCTGTTTGCTGGTTGTAGCAAGCTTAAAAATTAATGCTTTGCAGCATCTTGCTGGAGGTTTTATAGAGCAAGTCACGAACTGAGAAATTGCAATGCTGATGACTGCAACAGAAAAGAAGATATTACCATCTAAATCCTCCTTCTTTTACCACCAGAGAATCATATTTTAGAAGATGTAAACAAATGTGTCATTGCTCTCCAAGAAAAAGATGTTGATGGTTTAGACCGCACAGCTGGTGCAATTCGAGGACGTGCTGCTAGAGTCATTCATGTTGTCACTTCTGAAATGGATAACTACGAACCTGGGGTCTACACTGAGAAGGTGTTGGAAGCAACAAAGTTACTGTCCAACACAGGTAAGAGTCGGTTACTCCCAAGACCCCGAAATTCAAATTGCTTACAAGTGCATGGGCAACCGGATACTAATGTAGCCGTGAAATCTACTAAAAGTCTCTTATTTACATACTATAATGAAAATTAGTGGGAGTTATTTGCAGAGCTGTTGCAAAATGAGAAATGTCGTTTTGCTGTGTTGACTGGCTTAAAACTGAGCAGTGCACAAGGTCTCCCTGAACGTTCTTGCTGTCGTTGACTGAGCTGCAGAAGGGTGAAACGCTGGGGAATGAGTCCCAAAGAGTTGAGTCAGGGCTCGAAAGTTACGTTGATCATCTTGCAGTATTGTACCAGGCTCTGCAAGTGTTCAGGATCCAAAAAGAAGGTATCTGCCACATTGGCCCAGTAGAATAAATTTGGGGTAATAATTTAGGATAAACTTTGTGAAATACCTTTCTAACTGTGGAAGAAATGTTGTAGGTTGTAGTCCCCCATACCTAAACAATAAATTAGGGTGTTTCCTGTGAATGAGCTGGTAACATCCATACAGGGTAAGGAATGACTCTGGTTGCTTCAAAATGAATGCTCTGCCAACTATTAGTTGTTGGTTTACTTTAATTGCTTTGACGAAGAATCAAGGGTGACGCTGAAGAAATGAACAGACTGTAAATGGTTCTGTGATGTTCTTCCTGGGGTGCAGTGAGTCACTGAAGTACAGCAGTGTAACCTGCCCTCTGCCAGTGCCTTGTTAAACTTGAGTTTCAT